GACTCTGGGGAGAGTAGAGGCGATGTTTGCAGCAGTGCTAAGGCAGTCCGTGACGACTCTGGGGAGAGTAGAGGCGATGTTTGCAGCAGTGCTAAGGCAGTCCGTGACGACTCTGGGGAGAGTAGAGGCGATGTTTGCAGCAGTGCTAAGGCAGTCCGTGACGACTCTGGGGAGAGTAGAGGCGATGTTTGCAGCAGCGCTAAGGCAGTCCGTGATGACTCTTTCCCGGCTTCTTGTCTTCCCCCTGCTGGTAGAACCTACTGGCCTGTTTCCACAGCGGCTCCGACAGCTTCACGGGAGACGCCTGTGAGGTGAAGGTGGCCGCACCCTCCCACTCACCATCCGCGGAGGCAGAGTACTGGAGGATCCGTGCCATGGCTCAGCAGGTGACACCTGAACACGCGTCTTCCCCGCCTTCCTCAGTGTAGATTCTCGCTCCCCAGTACACACTTCAGCTCCTCTTCCTGTGTTAAAATTCACAGATTCAGTGTAGAATCACATTCGCTCCATTTGTTGGCTAGATGATGTCATACTTCATCATCAGAGCATTGATAGCTCCTCAGACATATTCCAGGACCACCTGCAAGGTCTGAAGGACCCAAGCAGCCTCCTCACAGACTTCATGAAGAACACGTCACCCATCACTCTCCTAACCAGCTTTGACACATGCCATACACCTCTGACTGCTCTGATTGCAATACTGCAGCGCCATTTTCTCCATTCATGTATTCATTCTTACATTGAGTAATAGTGTAGATTGTTGTCTATGCCTGTGAAAATCACAAAATCTATGTCACCCATTACAAAACAACAAAAACAGCCAAGTTACACCCACGGGTAAATGTTAGTCATCGCACTGGAAAGTTAATTACCCGGCCCTGAGTATCTCCTCTCATATTTATGGTGATCTGCAGTCCAATCTGCAAAGCAGAACCACCACTGGGACTACCTTGAGTTTTGAAACACACAACCTGTATGATGAAGCAGTCAAGGAGAACCTTTTGGATCAGGCTACATGGGTGGCACTGAACAATTTGTCTCGTGACAAACATTTTCAGTGTTGCATAAAAAATATCGTTAGAACGAAACATTGAGGATAGAATGCCACGCTATACGTGTGTGTTACTGCCGTGTGGGATGATTTTTTACGACGTAGATCTTTGTTTCTCCTATCAGGTGTTCATGCTGGATACCCAGTGCTCTCCCAAGACCCCTAACCACAAGGAGGGCTTTGAGCATGCTCAGTCCTGTGTGCTGATCATCGAGCTGCCCCCTGACCAGCAGTCCAATGGACATACTGCAAAGAGGTAGGAATGTCCTGTATGATGTGTGTATCAGAATCTCTCTTAAAGCTGTCCTACTGCCATAGCCTATAACGTCTGCTACAATGATTGAAGGGTTACTATACTGTAATCATATTCATCTTAGCTGACCTACAAGATTCCTTCTGCTTTAAATGTTACGCAGTTCAGTGCATTCAGTACTCTAATTTTAAAATGGCAGCATGTAATACATACATGTTTGCACACCTGACTTTCCCCTTGTTACTTGCCACTGACTGTTACATTTGGCTTATTGCTTTTCTGTGTTGTTGATTTTTCTTTTCTAACACGCTTGACTTGCAACAGGAAAGTTGGGTAAGATGCTTGACCTTCTCCTTATCAGTTATGTGTTAGTGCTGCAGTTCTGTGGTGAGAATGAAGGAATTTACTTCTCGTTTGTGCTGCAGAACCATCTTTGCACTGCGTATTCACTGGACCGAAGAGAATATTTGTTGTAGTTTAACCACTGTTCTCTCGCTTGTATTTGCATACAAAGTGCTGATAGGCTCCAGGGAAAAGCCTGGTACCCTCTAGAGAAATTCTGATAGGCTCCAGAGATGTTCAGAAGTGAATGTATAATTTGTGTCACCAAATTAGCCCGAATATAAGACAACCCCCCCCCCCCCACACACACACACACACAGACACACACACAAACTATTTTTGGAAGAGAACATTTGAAATGCAAAGTCATACCTTCAGAAAAAAATATATATTTCACAAGAACATATATAAAGTTAAGCATGTCATGTTTAGAGGTGACCACAGGCAGTCGCACACAGTGAGTGGAGTATTACAAACTCCACAACCCGAGAGAGCGGAATGTTTTTGATGCAGCAGCCCCACATAAATGGAGCAAAAAAAGCGCTTTGTGGCGAATGGTCGAGTCATTTTAATAAAGATGATGAAATCCGCTCTTTATTAACTGCCACAATCAGTAAAATACTGGCGCAGTGGCACAGACACCAACAGTTCACATGACACTCACGGTTACACGCTGACGAAATGCACGCATTCCACGCTTTAGCCAGGAAGTGGATAATTAACTCCTCTGCTTTTGTATAATGACATTTAAATTCTAGCCCTCGAAAATAGGACGACCCCATTTTTCTTAATGTGTTTTTGGAGGGGGGAGAAACAGTCTTATATGTGCACCGATATGTATAGGAATATGACAGGCATGTCATAATACCGCGGTTCGCATGTATTGGACTGTCAGGGGCCTAGTGAACGGTTGGTAATATACCACGTACAGTTACACTCCTCGTATTTTCAGTAACGACGCACTGTAATGCACAATTAAGCGTAAATCTGAAAAGCTCCCCCTTTCTCTCTCACGATCACAGAATACCTTTCAGGACTATTGTGGTGAGCCTGCTGTCACACCAGGTGCTGCTCCAGAATCTGTATGATATCCTACTGGAGGAGTTTGTGAAGAACTCCGGCCAGACGGACGTGCCGGAGAAGGCCACGCCCGTGCCGGAACCCAGACCGACGGGCTTCCTGCGCTACATTTCCATGCAGAACCTGGCTATCATTTTCGACCTGCTTCTGGACTCCTACCGTACCGCCCGTGATTTTGACACCCGGCCCGGGTTAAAGTACCTCCTGATGAAGGTGTCTGGAGTGGGCAGTGCTGCCAATCTGTACCGCCAGTCAGCCATGAGCTTCAACATCTACTTCCAGGCCCTTTTGTGTGCCACGCTGACCACCCAAGAGAATATCACAGCTGAGCAGGTCAAGAAGATCCTGTATGAGGATGAGGAGGGAAGCTCGGACTCCTCCCAGCAGTGCTCGTCTGAAGATGAGGACATCTTTGAGGAGACGGCACAGGTGAGCCCCCCACGGGGCAAGGAGAAGCGCCAGTGGAGGGCCAAGATCCCCTCCCTCAGCATCCAGCCAGCCAGCAGTGTGGATTGGGTTTGGCTGGTCAAGCGTCTGCACAAACTCTGCATGGACCTGTGCAACAACTACATTCAGATGCACCTGGACCTGGAGAGTACCATGGAGGAGCCCCCCGTTCTTCGAGGAGATCCCCTCTTTTTCCTCCCAGTCTTTCCCTCAGAAACCTCCACACCTTCTCCTGGAGGGCTGTCGGGACGGGGCACGCCATCTGAGGACGGTTTCCGCTGCCACCCAGCTGAGACGCCATCGGAGGATGCCCACAGCCTGGGGGTGGGCACCAGCGTCCCGCTGAGGGGCGAGAGGCGAGACGTGCCCCGGAAAAAAGAGTGGTGGGAGAGTGCAGGAAACAAGCTGTACACTATCGCCACCGATAAGACGATCACCAAGCTGATGGTCGAGTACAAGAGGAGGAAGCAACAGCACAACCTCACCACCTTCGTGAAGGAGGCCAAGCCCGGCGAGAAGAGGATGGATCCTGTGACGCTCAGGGGCCCCGACTCGCCCATTCCGCGGAGGCCCCAGCAGCTGCTGGACCAAGGAACAATGCGGCATTCCTTCAGTGCTGGCCCAGAGGTCCTCCGGCAGGAGAAAAGGTCCCGTTCTGGGTCTACTGCCAGCTCACAGAACATTTCGCTTAGAGACTCCGAGGCACAGATACAGGCAAGTCTCACTCATTTTAAAAATACGCTTCATTTTCCTTAAATGTAAGTGCCACAACATAGACTTACTGCATAAACTGACTAGGAATCTTACGTAGATCGGTAATACATTCTATTTCAGACACCATCATGGGAATAATAAAATAATTTCTGAAGAAGGTGGCAATTTCTGCATTAAGTGAAATTTGTCCAGCTGACTGACCTGCTTGTACCTGTTCTGTCTCCCTGCTGTCATGCAGGCATGGACCAACATGGTCCTGATTATCCTCAACCAGATCCAGCTTCTCCCAGATCCCACCTTCGTTGCCCTGCAGCCAGCGGTGTTTCCCTGCATCAGTCAGCTGACGTGTCACGTGACGGACGTCCGTGTGCGGCAGGCGGTGAGAGAGTGGCTGGGACGTGTTGGCAGGGTGTATGACATCATTGTTTAGGGGGCTGTGTCCTCACAGGTGAGGGGGAGGAGAGATTGGAACCCAGGCTGGTATGACTGCCTTCATCTGTATTAGATGTTTGCTTTACCACTAATACAAAGTTTAAGAAAGTTCCAGACAATTCCTGGGAGATTGTTATTATTTTACTGCTTATATAAAACATCCATGAATTTAAGTCTGATGTATTTATAGTTGTATCTAATCCTGAATGTGATCTATTTAAGATTTATGCATTTATGTTTATTCAACCTATATGGAATATATATTTTTGAATTTATGCTCCATGTGAAATGCAATATTTTCTGCCAATATGAAAACCAAGCACTAAGCAGATACACAAACTAGAGAAACGACAGCGATCGACTGCTGGAACGGGGGAAACGACGTCATTTTGAAATCAGCACACAATGTCACTTAATTTGCATACAATATGACTTAAAGCTCACTCTAACCACCAAGTAATCTGGCAGCTTCGAAAAAGCCACTTTCTCCCAGAATTCTGCTCTGCTGCTCGTGTGTTTACATCGTTATGGTGAGAAACAGGTCTGAAACTGATGAGGTGAAACGAGAGCCTTTTAACGGCTTAGATTGTTTTTTGCCTTAATGCCAATTAACCTTTCGTCAAAGGAGGGGGGCACCATTACTGTCTGATCTGGTGCAATGAAGCTTATGAGAGAAAAATCCCAGTTTGGGCTGGGCAGGGTGTCGAGTCATTTCCCTCAGTTTGAGCGCTGCATGGTCCACGTTCCCTTTCCTTGAGGGGTGGCGGAATCACGCCACTTCTTGGCCTAGTGAGCGACTTTGAAGTCCCACCTCATGCTGGTGCCATAATACAAAAAATCCATCAGTTTTCATTTCCTGTGACCCCCCCACTGTCCCATCTGCTGGAACAGACAGCTCACCTTAAATCACCCAAACGAGAGCAGGTGAATTCGCCCCCAGAAACAGGGGGTCGCATTAAACATCATTCAAATTAAAATAGACCAAGGACACCGTTCATGCAATTACTTTTTCGATGATGCATTTATGGGGAATATTTGAAGAAATCAAGCTTGAAACTAATATGAGAAACTCTATTTCTAAATATTGTTTTACTTTTACAGACTGTCTGTACTGTCAGTGGTGTCGAATTCACATCTCATTGATTTTGCTCAGTCGGATATAATATGTATTGGAAGTCTTGAGTTTATGAGAGCTTTAAAAAACAAATTAATAATAATAAATGACAATAAATGGTTAGGAATCTGCCATTATTTGAGGATGCACAAGGTCTCCATTTTGTCTTTTGATGAATCATGTTCATTCTCATACAGAATTTTCCATTGACTTATTTTGCAGTCGGCTTTCGTCCAAAATGACATGAATGATACAGAATTCTGTGAAGCTGTCCATTAATGGACATGGAAAAATGTTACAAATTTACTATGAAATCCACCTAAAACGACAAAGACTTTATGTACTTTCCACATAGTATATCTTCCTTACAGATCATACAATCACAAATGAGTTTGTTATTGTCATCATAAATGATGAGTCAGAGATATTAGGCTATGCATATTAATCCTGACACCAAACCAGTTTGGGGAAAGAAAACCTTTTTGTGTACAAGATGAATGTAAAGTTCTACAGAAAATTCCTGATTATGATTGGCGGGTTCATGATTGGCGGGTTCATGATTGGCGGGTTCATGATTGGCGGGTTCATGATTGGCGGGTTCATGATTACTGCTGGTGTCAGTGTCCTGTAACTGTTGTTGTTTTTTCATGTTTTTTTCGTCTGCCTTTCTTGTCTAGTAAAAAAAAAAAGTATAAAGACCAGAATATTTATATATTACTGTATTGTTTATGTATTTAAATCTGTATATGTGTTTCTGAAAATGGGCAAACAATTGGCCACATTTTGACAGACACTGTCCATAACAGCACGACACTGTCTTGGCCACTATCATTCAGTGGGAACGACGCTTGTTCACTGTGAACCAGTTAGTCTATTTAGGAGCTGCACTGGGATTTCCTGATCCAGTGTGACTGACCCATCTTTGGACTGCTGCACTGAACAGTTTTATTCAATTTAAAAAAAAAAAAAAACATTATTACATACAGCATTATTACATTCAGTAATCCACTATTTATGATTATTTTCACTCAACAAGAAACACAAGAGTGTAGCAGAGTGGTCTCTATCCAGGCTGAACTGCATACAGTGTCTGTGCAGCTTATGTATTTTAAATTTATAATTCACTTAAAATAAAATCAGTGGGATATACTCTCGTCCAATCGGAAAAAAACAAACACTCATCACAAAAACTGGTCTAACAGTAATAGTACTGACTATGCCGTTTTCCATCCTGCAATCTTTTTAATTTTTTTAATTTAATTTATCTTGAAAACAAGCTGCATGTGGTTTGAGTCGCTAGTTTTGACAGCGAGTACAGCAACATGGTTATGGGTTTGTAAACAAGCAAACTGTTACCCAGCACATGTCTGCCAGCCTGGTTTTAAATGAGTGCTTCATGGAGAAGGTAGGGAGGGGGCACCTGTGACCCAGACAATGCTTGGCACCAACTATTTCAGATTTATATTCCCCATTTCTTTGCTCCTTTAGCTCTACTGTAAAAAGACCATTACAGACCTCTGCAATGTAAACTAGTACACCTGCTTTATAAATCACAGGGTGCATTCTGCATGCCGAAAACAGTTATTAATCAGATAATAACTTGCCTGTGATTTACAAGATTCTTTCTGAAAGACTACTTTCATTATAAAAAAATATATATATATTTTTGGTAGGAATCCAGGAATGCAGAGTATTCACAAATCTGCCAGGAAGCGCTTTAATAATGCAGATCGAAAGTGGAAGGAGTAAAAGCTAGGCTCTTGAAAACTAAATCTTACAAGTCATTCTGCTCACATTTTACAACACGGTTAAGAGCTTTGATACAGGTTTGATACAGACAATTGTATAATACAGAAAGGAGGCTATTGTTACAATGTCCTGCTTTTCACCTTGGTTTAATGTCACCAAAGCATGTGCAGTGAACTCATACCCACATGGCTCCTCTCGGATGGGACGTGAAGCGAGTCACACCATTAATTAGAGTCATGATGAGGTGTGAAATGGTATCGAACCCAGTACTATATGGAGTGGTTTTAAACAAAACTCTCACCTTTGGTAAATTCTTGGGACTGTACCATTCTTAATATTCTCTTTTGACTAAAACAAAGGACACTCTTCTCTCACAGATGTAATTTGTCTCAAGGTATGTAATGAACAAAAACTGACATATTAAATAAGCTGTATATTCTGATGTTTCCCAGTTTGAAATTTACGTTGAATGTGTTGTAGAATAAACCAGCAAACGTTTTATGTGTACTTGGCTGGCCTGTTTATTTATCAGTGGGTGCTGTTGCCATACTTTAATCCAACCCCTACACTTTCTTCGGCTACCACACTTTTCCTGCTTCCATAAAGACAGAGAGCTCAGGTGACTGGCTGACTCCCACTTGTACTTTGTGCTTGTACTTTACGACAGTCGTATCTAAGGTGTACTCTGCCTTAATTCCTACACTTCATAGAACAGGTGCTGGGTCACCTGCAACCTTATTAAACTGAAAATGCATAGACTCATTGATGCTTGGTTAAAGATTTAATTAATTTTCTGTTGTTAAAACTCCTAATGAAATGTGACTTAAAAAAACATTTAGCCATGCTACATTCATACATATCATTAAGGAACATTTGTAATTAAGAATTTTCAATCAGAAAAAGATTGAAATGTGATTTCTAAAGGATATCTGTGTCCTTTCGAGCATGAGATCTTGCTAATCCTGCAAGAGATCCTTCGGAAGGTCAAATGAAGAGCAAGTGGATTAAATGGAAATGCACGGTAATGGAAATGTTGGTCAGTCACACAGCATGGTCACGTTACTGGCATTGTGTGTCACCAAAACTGAGAATGTAATGAGAGCTGCTCAAATTAGTCCTCCAAAATGGTCTTCCACTGGCCAGGAACAGGCACTGCTCATCTGGGTTCTAAAAACTTTGTTTTTCTTACCACACATAAGGAATGTTGAGGAGGTTGTACATTCAGTTAGCTCTCTGGGCCGTGAACACTTTCAAAAGTGTTTTCAAGAGTATCGAGCTTCCCTGATTCATCCCCTCCCAATCACTCCCTCGTACTTTTGTCAAAACCCTTTTCCTCCCATATTTTTAACCCTTTAGAACTGATTGAGAATTCGGGGAAACTGTGGTCTGGAATTGACTCTTGGAATCGACTACATTGATTCCCAGGTCGACATTGAAGTTGACTCCAAAATTTTTCGAATCGAATAATTAGATTTTTTTCTTCTTTTTTAGTGACCAGCTCAGCCCTAACCCTCCCAAACTGCCCGCCAATTACTTGAAGGATTCTGATAGTTTGGGCATCTTTCAATCGCCATGATATTGGACGATAGCAATTCAACAGGCACCAGTAAGGCAGTGGAGATATTTCTATGACTTGGCGATTAACGTCCAGTCATGGGGAGAAAGCACCTCAATGTTTTAATTCTGCCTGGCATTAAAAGAAAACTAGCTTTCCTCACTAAGATACGGGACGCACATCAGAATTTTACAACAATCTAATCCAGCCTAAAATTAAAAGTAGATTTAACACTTGGTGTTTTTAAATGTGTTTTATAAATAAAATTACTCGACAATAGACAACGTCTGACGTCAAGGTTGAGAAACAAAAAAATTTCAGTTATCAAGTAGCTACAATAAAAATCTAAGCATATAGCATGGACTAATAACGTGTTTTATCTGGGCAGTATAGGAGATAAAGCACAAATTTCATTTCACGCAGATCCAAGGTAAAGAGCGACACCTGGTGGATGGATGAGTGGTCACCAGGGTCACCAGGGAACCTGTAGTCTTTCCCAGGCAATATATATAGTGCACAAGGCAGGAATGGGGTGCCAGGTCATGCACACAGTCATACTGTGAGTAATTTAGAGATGTCAGTTAGACTAACAGTCTGTCTTTGAACTACGAAGGAAATACACACAAGAGAGGCAGGACTCGAACCCCCAGCCCTGGAGGTACTTCACACTGAGGTATGTTGCTCAAATATTTACTAACCACAATCCAAGCCAAAAAAAGAAAACAATCCACTCCAATAAATAAAAATTTAATCATTGTATACTCAAACATTTCATTTAAACATTCAAACATATGTCCTCTAAGGACAATAAGTAAACAACACAAAAGGAAGCACATGAAGACTTTGCTGTGCCGTGATGGGAAGGTTGGCACTTTAAGAACATCTCAGGAAGGCTGGTCCATTTATGAGCTCCCTGAAGAGCCCCTGCTCGGTTTCTGAGATGGGTCCAGACCCGTGCCTTCATATACCACCTTGTTCTGCAAACCATCTTGGATTAGCCTTTGCTGTATGCGGAGCTTGGCGTTGTTGTATCTACAATGGAACCTTCAGAGAAAGGCAAAAAATGTTAGATACCTAAAAACTGACAAGAAATACCATTTTAAGAATGTACATTAAACTAAGGGTGACCAAGTACTCTTCAAGTTAGTTAATCTTAAACAAAAAGGCTCTTTTCATTTAAATGAAATGGACGTGCTAGTACAATTGGATATTAAACTGTACTCTAGAAATATTGCACAACAACTTGTAACAGTACATTAGAAAAACATTTACCAAGATACCAGGGTTGTAAGAGTGAATCCTATCATACCCACATCAAACGATCTCCGTACTCTGCCTGTAAAAAGATTTATCCTTTATGCTATAGTAACCACAACATACACATGACAATCTTACAACACATTTCAAAAATTAAAATAGTGTTATAACAAATCGGTCATTTGCTTTTAAATTACGGCAATGAATGACCATGCCAGCCAATACACCCACTTACTTGTTGCTAAAAAGTATCCAAAGCCAGCGACTAGAGATCCAGCAGCACCCTGCAGAATCGACTCTCTGGCGCATGGAATGTTCTGAACATCTAGGATTCCTAGTAACTTGAAGGGCTGCACATCGACAAAACGCACACCAAAAAAAAAGGCATAGCTACAGCAATGTAACTTTAAAACGCTAAAATGTCTTAGGAACGGAGAGACCCTTGACATCGAAAGGGTGTTATAATAATAATAATAATAATTATTATTATTATTATTTAAAAATTATTGTTGGCCAATTCTATAACAAAGTTTTTATGCAAACAGTATGCTGACATTTTATGGGAAACTGTCGAAAGATGTTACGATGCCTCAGAAGAGAAACATATACCTTCAGAAATATCAGAGGAACATATAAGGCGACTTAACGTTAATTTGTGTCCAACCCATAAATAAAATGGCTGGTAAAATGTTATAAGCAAATAACTTACGTTATACAATTACCTTTTTTTTCGAAGCCTCTTCTTCGCTTGTCATTTTGTCTTTCAAATCTAATTCTGGGGGACGAGTGTAATCGGCTCTGTATCACTACGCATGCGCTGTCCGTCCGAAATTGTATACCGTGTGTACAGTCAATACAACGATTTTGAGTTCCTACATTTTACCTGCTTTCACCCTGATTTCTCAGCGGAAAACAATGACATCTGCAGGTTATTCAAGGGAAAGCATATTTTACTATACATTTTAGGGATACATTATTAGTTCAGGTTTACTTTAATAATCTAATTATAATTAATACCTTTAGCATTAAAACAGTGACTACATGCACATGAATTTAAAGTTCATAATATAACTACTTGTAAAATTTTTGGAAATAGTTGTGTTTTGTGACACTGTTATGTACTGAATGGACTTTTACTTCATGAACTGCTTATTCAGGTATGTTTCAAGGTGATGTTCACCCAAGAAGCCTCAAAATTCAACCCTTCATTGGTCATCAGATATCAGAGAGCATGCTATTAATCTCCTAAACCTCGGGTAATCCGCAACAACAGAACACAAAACACCTGTGGACAAAGGAGAGAAAACCTTGAATGTGACATTGACTGCGAAAAACATCCCTGTGCTACTTTAAACAGTGGTAATTCGAGTGTATAAATCAGGACTCTGCTAATTTGACTTCCTCTGCCAGCCCCTGGAGGACGGGCTCCCCCTCTGAGGCTGCTTCCTCCCAAGGTTTCTTCCTTCTAGAGAGTTTTCCCTGCCACTGTCACCTCTGGCTTGCTCACTGGGGGCTTTGGGCAGGAATAATACGTATAAAGGACTTTAAGACAATTTAATGTTTTGAGAATGCACTATACAAATAAAACTGAATTGAATCGAATTGAATTGAAGAATTGTTACTTAAATTAATTCCCATCAGAGTGCACCACATAACCACCGGTTTGATTCCCATTCAGTAAGAGGTGCCCTCTGCTTTTGTGGTCTGCATTTACTGGGAGAGGTTTCATACTCTCAGTGACAATGTACTGGATAGGAGGTCATGGAAGGTGGATGGGAAGATAGTAGCAATGCTATGAATACTGGTCAAGGTCCATGTGGATCCCCAGGCAACCTAACCCTCCAGGGCCTCGCGCCCAATACAAGGAGCATGTAGAGCTTGCTCAGTCAGCGCCCCATTGGAAGATAGTGCCCTAAGCGGCCTCCAGTGTCCCCTAATTGGTTGACCAGTACTCATTGCTACGGCAACAATAAGATGCATATCTTATTTTCTGCTGATACAGTTTACTTATGTGATAAAAGGGGCATAGTGGCCCCAGATGACCCATTTTCCATTTGTAACCATTGTATCAGGAGTAGCATTTATATTATAATCTTATTATGCTAAATTAAAAGTGGCATTTCTCTTCATTGTGCTCAGTCGAGAGATATACCCACACAGGCCTAAGAATCAGCAGGCAACCAGAAACTAGAAGAGATGGATGTTTTTCATCTGTTTGTGCCGTGAACACAGATGTCATGCAGACGCCTCAAATTAGGGGACATGCTGAATGTAACCAGTGAGAAGGAAGGAAGCCATCATGTCACCGTGCCCCAGTCTAATCCCGGGATTAGCGGTAAATGGAAGGCGCCTGCGTTAGGATGAGCTCTGTGCTGAAGTGTGATGCCATGACATTGGGCCTGCAGGTATAAAAGATGGGGAACATTTGCTCTACCTCCTGCTGAGCTATTGGAATAGACTCACATCAGGTAAGTATGATAGATCATGACACATTACAGTAAAGGTTTTTATTCCGATGCTATAAGAATATTACATTGTTAAGTGGTATTGAAAACAGTATAAACTATTTGATTACATTTATTCACCCATTTTGGTGTTTTTAAGGCAAATCATTAATGTAATTTCAGAAAAATGATTAGGTATCATTCCTTCTGCTGTGATTCTTGGTCCCATATAATGTCTGTTTAGGAGCCTGCTGATATTGTGAATCTCATGAAAAAAACTATGTTCTCTTCACTTTGGCCATGCATGTGTGTTTCCTTCAAATGTTCAAGTCATTTCAGCTCAATTCAATTACATTCAATTAAATTCAAGTCAATTCCAATTCAATTTAATTAAATTTGCAATTTTATTGTCATTATATGATGCTATAGCAAGTGTACAATGAAATGTCATTTTGCGTAAACTCTAAAGGACAGTCCATGAATGAGCAGTGAAATGTTTCACATAAATAAGGTGCCGTAAAATACAAGGCATGTAAAAAGATACGACCAAAGAGTAACTGGTAACTTCAGTTTAAAGTGCATTGTAGTGTTATGTTGTGCATTTTTAGTTTAATATTTAACATACTCAGCTAAATATTTAAAAATGCACTTGGAATATTGCAGCAGGCTTGTATATTTTTTGGTTTGTATTTCCGGCAGTAGAATAACACTGTTTACATCTTCCATCTAACAATAATTTGACTTTACTGATTATCACAGCCATGACAGCTGAGTTGCACTTACTCTCTTACAGAATGACAGCTACACCCGGATGCCCCCTGTTACTCCTACTCGCCGTGGGCTGTTTCCATAACACAGCCAGAGCCTTTTCCTTGCAGCCCTGCGAGCCGGTTAATGAGACGGTCTCTGTAGAGAAGGAGGGCTGCCCGAAGTGCCTGCTCTTTCAGGCGTCCATCTGCAGCGGCCACTGCCTCACCAAGGTTTGCCTCTGTCTGTCGGCTCGTCGTTTCTGTACACACACATCCTGAGGTCAAAAAAGGGAGGGGCTTGTATTTGACTTTGTCAACCAATCGCAGACTTCCTCGCATGACATCGCCACATTGGTCCGTTTTTCTCATTTTCAAACTCAAGGCTTCCAGCTATCCAGCCCCCAGCGGCGTGGGGCTCAGAAAGCTAAGCCTGTGTGCTTGCGTTCAGAAGATTGCAGGTCAAGCCTTGTTATTTTTATTCTTGTTATCATTGTTGTCATTATTATTATTCTTATCATGAAATAAAGACACACACTTACAGTACTCTCTACAGCCTTTGCAGAACAGCATATTCCAGTTTTTTCTATGTTTATATGTCCCTTAACAAAAGACACACACAATAAAACTGGTGCTTTACAAAACTGTGCACCTTGCCACCTAAGACAAAACACTGGATTTAATTAATGTGGTGATGTCATACAATGACGATGTTGATTGGTTAATGAAGTGAAATGCAAGCCCCTCACTTGCTGACCCAGGGACACACTGCACTTGGTAAAATCAGGATGTGTGTGTATACATTATCATCGTTAGGGTTAACAAAAGTGCTGATCCTGCTTTACTCCCTGTGGGTGTGACAGGAGCCGGTTTACAAGAGCCCCCTCTCTATGGTGTACCAGCACGTGTGTACGTATAAGGATGTGCGATACGAGACGATCCGCCTGCCTGATTGCCCCCTGGGGGTGGACCCCCATGTGACTTTCCCCGTGGCTCTGAGCTGTGACTGCAGCCTGTGCACCATGGACACGTCCGACTGCACCATTGAGAGCCTGAGGCCAGACTTCTGCATATCCCAGAAGGCCACTCTTCCGGCTTTCTAGGAAGAGCCAAGACGGCCACATGGAGACTTATGTTCTCACAGCAATCAGCAGACNGCTGTGACTGCAGCCTGCGCACCATGGACACGTCCGACTGCACCATTGAGAGCCTGAGGCCAGACTTCTGCATATCCCAGAAGGCCACTCTTCCGACTTTCTAGGGAGAGCCAAGACAGCCACATGGAGACTTATGTTCACACAGCAATCAGCAGACCCATATTAGCCCCAGTCACACTGTGTTACACTGTCCCTCGACAAGCCACCATAATCAGACAGTGGAGAGCGTGCAAATGGGGGGGGGGGGACAATTACTATGTGAACAGACACAAGGCTCTGGGGGAATTTGCTAATGTCAATAAAAAGAGCTTTTTTTTCTCGCAAATTCAGTAACATTTTTCTGTTGCAATATAATGACTCAACAAATCATTATCATTATCTTGTGAAATAGTGTTAAGTAAATGGAGACTAAATTAAAACTGTCATAGCCTATGGTTTGTCTGTCTATGTCCAAAACAGTCGTGGAGCCTGTTGCTTAGACTGAGTCAGTTGTGTGACATTGACAGGTGTAACAGTAAATATCATCAGGACAACAGAAAAGTGGCAGTGGGACCAAAACCAAGATCATTTCTATAAAAGAAAATCACCCCTATTTAGGCAAAAGTAACACAGACCCACCCTGTCAGGGATGGACTGTGAAGTGTTTAGTACTGAGGATTAAAACAAACTGTAAAGTCAGTTCCAGTGGAAAAGAGTAATCACACTTTATCATGCCATGAACAAGTAACACAAAGCCATGGAATTAAACACTTCATTTAAAAATGAAGAAATATACTGAAAGTAATCATGGTTCCGTCTAAAAGTAAACAGGATAAATGATCAAATGGTGACTTAATTACATAAAGACAGGCACCACTGTTGGTCTGAGTAACAATGTAATACTTTATTTT